GTTTAATGTAGTAGAAGTACTTACAGTCCCAATTTTTGTCTCGGTAGTTCCCTGGTGATGAGAAGAGCAGGGGAGGAAGGTGACACACTTACACTAGATGAGAGTATCTGTCTCAGCGAGAGAACATTGCTACCTGGCTTTGTGTGGGTGGTACTCCGCCAGGGTGGCATGAGAAAAGTGAAGTTGATAACTGCTTTTAACCAAATCAGCAAGACTGGGTATTAGTATTTCATCACTTGTCACCAGGAGCTGACAAACTTGAACAGCATAGGTGGTTTTTCCATGTATCAGCCAAACAAAGGTAACCAAAGTTTTTCTTCTCGAGCTAGAAGAAGTTATGCAATGGGGACATTAACTAGGGTATCATGCCCCTCCGCAATGACATGAGTGATTATTGCATAACTAAGGTAAATTTGGATATATTTTATTATTCATGCCTCCTAAAGGAAAGGGAGAAACCAATTTTAGCTTTTTTAGATTTCACACATTTTCCAGATATTCTTTAGCTTCACCTCAAAAATATTCATGTTTTTCTCCTCCCTTCCTTACTTTTTCTAAATTATGACTCAAACTCTCAGAATACAGGGGAAAAAAGACCCTTCCTGGAGAGTTTTTAGCATGACTGACCTTATGAGAAAAATATGCGGGTATTCTGCTTTACAATAGTCATCCCAAATACTCCAGTGTATGGTAGAATCTGTAGGATAACACTACAAAACGGTCATGCAGCAAATTTGGAAGGTCTATTCCAAGCAGATTTCTCAAACTCAAATGATTTCTTGTCTGTATTTAACATATGTGTGTTTTACAGATATATTCCAAATAATTGCACTATATGCTGTTGATATTGCATTGGTTTTAGTAATTAGAATGCTAAATTCAGGAAATAAAATGATCAGGATTATTGGCACTTTTGTTATTTGAATGAAATCTCTGATGTTCCCCAAGTTTGCATACACCAGACTTTGTCCCATTATGAGCTCATTCTCAGATTAAACACAGTTCATGTCACTTTAACGTGTTAACTCTGCTTTATGGTATTTTCTACCAGTGTTTAATTCCTTCTTTAATAGACCATGGACTCTATGTCCACACAAGTCTTTAATAAAAAGTTTTCAAATTCTAAAGACACTGTCTTGATGTTTACTGAAATCAAAAGTACAGAGACAATTAGGATATTCATTCAAAAAAGTCCCTTTTAAAGTGAAATTTCCCCTAATAGAAGGTCAAACTTTATAAATTTAATACTGTGTCCACCAAATTTGCTCTTACACATTGTTTCAATTCTATTTGGGAAGGTACAGGAGCTGTTTAGATTAGAAATAACATAATTCATACTTAACTACCTTCCTCTGCAGTTAATTTGATAACGCTGAAAAAATAATATCATAAAGTTCAAAAAGGATATCATAAACTAAATTGTTTCCTGAAGTGGAATGACTCCATTTTCTATGGTCCATTCATGGTTACTATCCTACTGGTAAAGAACAGTTTTGTGATTTACTGAAAAAAGATAAAGATGTGATGGATTTATATAAAGGACTACCAAGCATGAAGCTCCTGGTTTTCCTTCTGACAGAAATTTTCAACATTTTACAAATAAGAAAAATGCCCTGGCACTTGTCCCCAGCACTGAAGCGTAATAACAAGAAGCCAGTGCCTGCTGAATCCAATGACAGATTCTCTATTGACATCAGTGAAAGGGTATGAAAAAAGCATCACCGCGAGTTTTGTTTTCAGCTGTCTCTGCTCTCCACCCAAGAGAGCACATGAACCTAAGGTCATTTTAAAAAGAAGTGATCGTGGAATATGATGGGACAACAGTAGCTTTTCTGTAATTACATAAATTCTATATGCTATGAATACTAATAGAAGATATGATTATTTATGGGTTTAGTGTATGTCTAAGGTCCTTTAGCAAGGTCTAAGGTCCAAGGTTTTTATTTGATTTGAGAACCTCACCTTATTATAAATACTGATAAAAATTAGCGCACAACTCACATACACCCTTCCACAGTAAGCGTCATGTTTGCAATCCCTTATACTGACAATTAACAATGTTAACACTGCTGAAACTCCTGCTAGTGCTGTCAGAAACTGTACCTGGGGGAAGATGGGTTAGGTGGTGTTGACGTGGCCCCACGGACACGCAGACGTCTAACTGAGCTGGCCTGTCTAGGAAGCCTCGCAAGCACCGGTGTGGTGCTGGGCCTGGACTGAGGTGCTCTGCGTTATGGCTGGAGCTGTGCTGGGTACCAATTCACACTGCTCTACTGTGCAGTGGACATTACCTGAGCTCTTCTCTGTTCCCCGGTTAAGAAAAGGAAAGAGTATGGCAGCTCGGACTTCCTCAGCGCATGTGCCAACACATCTCAGATTTGACTTGGAGATAAGATGATAGGCCAAAGGAAATAACAACCTACACTGAATGCTTTTGAAAAAGTATCTCCGATTAAGTATGGGGGTTTTTTTCCCCTCTCCGTTTTCGCTCCAAGTCTGTTAGCCCAGGCAAATGACTTGCTCTATCAGAAATGCCTCTGAATTTTCAATTTACCAGCCTATCTCATTTGGCAATTCTTAATCCTGCCTTTGGCTGCCCTCTCATGAAGAAGTCCTAACCATATTCACTGGTATTAGATAGGCTACACTTATTAACCTGAAGAAAGAGATTTGCAGTTTGTGGACCGTGCTGTTTTAAAAAGAATGCCCTGATTTTTTTTCCTTTTTAAGTAAACAGAACCTTCTTTTAAAGTCCTGAAAGAATTCTGCATTCATTTCATACCATTCCACCGCAATTTGCTTGTCACCTAACTTCATATCCATTTACAAGATGGACATTAGCTATGATGGCTAGAAAAATGAAGTGGGTTTCACAGCCTTGCGAGTTAGCATTATCAGTGGCCTGGAAATAAGTTGGGGAACCACTTCCAGGGATATTATCAGTCCCAGTCCTAACTGCAAGGGACAAGGCAGACCCCCAAACCTACCTGTTGAAATCAGTTCTAAAACTTCCTTGGCTGCTTTAGCCACAGGGTCTAGGCTGAGACTTCAGACTGGCAGCACCTATGTGCAAAGACAGCTTTGTCCCCTCTGCAGATGGAAGCAATCAAACCTCAAGTGAACTGAAACTTGCCTGTCTTCTGACAGGCCTGCCCAAAGCGAAGCGATGCTCTCCAGCAGAGTCCGGCACCGCTCTCCTGGCCAGGCGCGACCAGAGGCGAGTTCCGGGGTGCGACCGAGGTTGAGGTTGGGGCTCCAGAGGAGCTCCTGCTCCTCTCCACTCCCACAAATTCCACTCAAACATATTTATATAGACCAGCAGATAATTTTGCCCGTTACCAACCTGCCTCTAAGTTTAATGTGTTTCACAAGCTGTTTGGTAATTAATCCAGGGGTGATACAGACCACAAGGTTAATATCGGCTATTTAAGTTCCGCTATTTATTGCCACTTCCACATGTGGCTGAGCTACATACAGTGAAGTAGTACAATACTCCTGAATGATCATTATTAACACCTTAGCATGACAGTACTAAATGCACACATGTGGTTTCTAATTACTTCATTCAAAGAAGTCAATAATGTTGGAGTAGATTAGCTCCCATGCTAACAGTACTGCAGAATTACAAATAAACACAGGAACAGCCACTTGAATTAGATGCTCAGTACCTCAACTGAACAGGATTCCTTTTCTCTAACCCACATTAAATATCTTCTCTTGCTCTGCTGTTCAGCGCACAGATGCCTTTCCCTTGTTTTTCCAGAATGGAAAAAAATCTGGGAATTAAGAGGGGTCACCTAGGAGTGAGATTCTTGGCTTAGAATAGATGGGCAACGCACGTTACTGCCCTAAGTGCAACGTAAAGGTATACCCCCAAATCCACTTTCATTCAGACTGGTATCCACAGCTGGAAATATTCAGCTTCTTGTTCCATCTATTCTCTTTGAGGATATTTGACTCCACCTTTAAAACATATGCAACTTTATCCTTTTGATAATCCCTCAATAATATTATCCTGACTTTTTACTTTCATTGTAAGATGACATTTCCCAGTGTACCACATTTTAAGATGCATTTAAAAAATCTTTATCCAATAGCAAATAAAAGACAGAAACAAGTTTAGTGCTACATTTTCCCATGGAAATTTCCTAAGAAAAATACATATATGAATATATAAGTAAATCATCATCTCAGCAGAATTTTTTTTTCTTCTACACTTAAGGCAATATTTTCTTTTTCTGTCAGGCCCTGCAAATGTTCCCTGAGTCATGTGGTTACAAAAATGTAGAATTACCCTCCTAAAAAGAACATTTTACAATTCATCACTAGGACTAAACCAGCTGCAGCTATGAAAAAGTGTTAGCATATTAGCTGTAATATTACAGACAAATCTTTTATTTATTTTGTGCCTTTAGCTCTGGAGATTTGGAATGTTCAGGATTTTCTCTTTCTTTCTCTGCTCCAAAGTCACTCACTGAATTTTCACTAGACAGTTTAATTTTGATTATATTTGACAGAAGGAACTTTAATCCACACACTATGTAAAAAATATTGCATTTTAACAAGGGGTTTTACTTATGTTTTTATTGCCATTGTTTTGAATAGAATAGAATTCAGCATATCAGGGATGAGTTGTTATTAGTATTTAGGTGTCTTAGGCTTACTAACTGCTCAAATATTATGGAGAAATTACCTCTGATAAAAGATGATTTATTACTTTCCAAGAATGTTCATAGACTATTTGCACCTACCATTAAGATCGCAGTGTAGGAATAGATGTGTGAGATGCAACCTTAAATCAAAGCTGTTCCAAGTTTGAAGCTTTAAGCTAATTCCTCTGTTTTCTGTTTGTTGCAATGATCTCTAATAGCTTTAGGTGGCCACCTCACAAATTGCTGAAGCATATGCTTAACTTTACACGTGCACCTTTCTGAACAGAAGATTTCAAGCAGGAAAAAAGTCATATACTTTAATGAATATGATCCATAATAGTTACTCACCGCTGTCTATTGCCAGAAAGAGAGCAGTGTATATGTTATTCTGAACATAAGGAGATTCCCGATCCAGGATAGCCGTGGTGCCAATGGTACCGTTGGTAGGGTTTATTTCTAGCCAGCCTGCTGGATCCTTGTAAACCGAATACCTAAATAAAAAGATAGAAGTTGTTAACAAATGATCTATCTAGACATAAAACAATGACATTACTACAAAAGAACATGTCTTTGCACTGACTGGCTTTCATGGGGTGAATCTCTTAATACTTAAAAACCACAATGTAAACCTTGTGCCTTCCCTTTGAGATAGTTCATTATGGTTAGGCTTATTTGACAGAGGGAGAAATAGAGAGAGGTTTGAGGCAATTTCTTTGGATACACATGTCCCAAAGCTGAGTATGGAAATCAATATTTAAAACATTATGTAGGACTCATTTCCTGCTGCTGTGTTATGCAGCCAGAGCACCTGAACACTTTCAATTATTGCATTGTTCATGCAACGTTTCTGCATCAACACCGCTATTTACAGACTTCATGAACCCTCTCAACAAGCCTCCTTTTTCCCGACTCAAAATTCTGGTAGGAGTAAGTGTTATATTTTTTAGTTATTTTCTGACGGTTTTTCCTTTTTTTTTTCCCTTACAATTAGTTAATTTGGGTGAGGTTGGAAATGTAATAAATTGTAGGGTATGGTAGCAAAAAGAGAGTTAGACCATGGATTCGTTAGGTCTAATGGGAGCTGGTTACATGCAGACCAGGTTTGCAAACTTTTGTTCTGCAGCCTGTGATCCGTAGCTTCCTGCTTCTAATGATTTCAAATAGAGGCTCAGAATCTTGGAACAATTCAACCACATACATATTCTCTAAGTAAGGATTCAAAATGCTGTCTGTCAAGATCCCTCAATACAAATTTCGCTGTTGTGCTTTCTTTGCATTAATTAGCACAAATATTTAAACCTTGATACTGGAAATATTTAGGGAGATTGTAGAGTTTGTGCACTAAGAAATACCCTATTTGACTGAAGTAATAAATATAAGAATGTTCACGATTAGGGCCTAATTCTATACTCAGTTAAATATATTAAGTAATATAACAACACAGAGCTGAATTAACTGGTACCAATTCCTTCTCAAATGAAATGCGTTAAATTTTAAACCAGAACTTCAATCATATAATCAATACTTACTATAATAACCCGCTTATCTTTTTTTTGTAGTGAATTGTTATAGGCCATAAACAGCCATACAATCTTCTATAGACATTCTAAATTATAAGTAATTGAATGAAACCTGTTATTGTTTAATGAGTATGCACCTAGCCAGTGCCTCACAGTGGCATTCATCTGAAAGGTGTCCTATGTGATAACGCTGCTAAAAATAATTTATCAGTGCAACTATTTCCTGAGGGAATAATCAAAAAAACCAGATTGTAAGTAAAATGAAATAAAAGGGCAGTTGCTAGAAGAGGAAAGAAGAAATTGCAAGCCAACAAAGAAAGACATGGTCTCACTGAATGCTTATTTCAGAAGCTCGCTTCGGTGTCTTGTGCCCTCTGGGAAGCAGAAAAATAACTTGTGGTTAGTCGCTAGATCCGTCTAGCAGACTGTTAAGGGATGTCCTTTATCATAGCTAACAACGAGGGGACAACGGGTGGCTGTTCTACCCAGCTGCCTCTGACCCCCCAAGTCCTTGGTTCAGACCTCTCAGTCCCATATAACTTGTGCTTTTTCCCTGTCTGGTTATTCTGATCAGGCAGAGTTTGAGAACTTTGGATTTTTGCTGGGATCTCAGAAAAGCTAGGCAGAGCCACAGCTCTGAGCTGTTAGATGTCCGAGATGTCCGACATTAGCATAATTCATTATTCATGCAGCAAATTTTATTGTGTTTGAGCAGTAGGTCTGATCATTGGCCAAAGGTAAAAGAAAAACAAAAGCAAGTAACATAGTGCATGGCTCAAGCTTGAATTCTGTCATTAAGACAGCACTGTAAAAAACATTTAATGAACTGAAGAATGGATCTCTTCTGTCCCTCACCCCAGGAACTTCCCCTCCAACATTTGAAATAATGCCATGGGAAGGTGTCATTAAGCAAAGATTTAAGTTTTTTTTCCCCATGTAAATTAGGATTAGAACAGATTTGACTTATAATAGCCTTTGAATAATAAATTTTGGGTATGGACACCATACTGTTCAGCAGGAAGAAAACTTAATTGTTAAAAAGGGAAAAGTTCTGGGCAAATTGGTTTCCTCGTGCATAAATGAGGCAGTGCACATACAGGTACCCAAGCCTGAGAAATACAGGACAGAAACACAAACATATTTTCGCAGCCCACAGATCAGATATCCATTATAACTGGATTAGCTGGAGGCAGAGCAAGACTTGAATTCATGCCTCAGAAAGCACAGGGCTCCAGAATTCCTATGAATTTGCCACGTGACCCACAGGTACATATAAATAAACTATTCTATAGATTGACATTATACTTCCAAGATTGATAAAGTACTCTTATTACAAAAGAACGAGAGTCCAAGGAAAAAATACTGAGTTTTGTCTTTGAAAAACAAGATCACTTTTAGCAGAAAGCCTTCTCTTAATTCGTCAGAGAAATACCTCTCACCAAAAAAATCATCAGTTCCCTCAAAATTTCCTTGGGGTACGTCCAGGGGAAATGATATTATCCTACAGACAATGAACATGGCTAATTTCAGAGGTGGTAACAGACGACACTGTCCACATGACTGCTGTTCTTTACCAAGACTTTGCTTCAGGCTTGAAAAATGCAGCCTCCTCAGGGCTGCTGAACCAGATTGACTTTTCCATGGTACACAGGAACACACGGGTGTTCAGGCAGCCAGTTTCAGGATCAAAACTTCAACAGATACAGCCATGAAAAATTCCACAGTTTCAGGAGCTATTACTATGTTAAAATAAAGGACACATTTGGAAACCAGAACCTTTTGGAATTTGTGAGAAAAAGGGACAAATACTGAAAACACTTGGCTTATTCATGCTCCCACGAAAGTCACTCAGAGTTTCAGCACCGGCTTCCCCAGGAGAAGAAATTATCGCTTAGGAAATAGGTGGAAGAGAAACGAAGGCAAAAGCTAGCCCATAGCGAGACATTCCATCAACCCAACGTGTCCTTCCGCTTAATAACCATTTAAACATTAATCAATACTTGAGCTTTATCTCCCGTAAAAATGATTTACTAGAATAGTAACAATGCAGATCATTATTTCATTTCACTTCTTTGTTTCTTTTTTTATTGTTGTTTTTATAACTTTGCAACAAAGGTATGCAGAAAAATATGAAACAAGGGCAGCCTAAACAATTCCTAGTCTATTGTTAAACTGCAAATTCTCAATTAACCCTGAAACAATTTAAGAAGATTCAACACTTCTAAAGTAATGAGAATTTAAAATGGATTGTATTATCTTCCCTGATTGCTCTACAAAGCACTGTTGGCTGTGCAAATAAAAAACTGAATTGTATAACCTGTGATTTGGCACAGGATATTGTAAAAGTAGTACTTTGTCTTTCCCACCAAATTTTTTACTTATTGTAAGAGTATATTGCAGTACAGTTAAGATGATTGTTCTTTGTTCATTTTTTTGAAGGCTCTGCTAGCAAACGGTTTAGAATAGACTCATTAAGAAAAGCACTATAAAAAAAATAGAAGTACAGAATACAAAGCTTCACTTCCTACTTTTGACTTTAGTGGGATCTGCTGATTGCACAGCAGTTTTGAAAATCAGACCATTTTTTTAGGTGGTTAAACATGAACTTATGTGCCTGTGTGTACCTACTCAGTTTTGAAAATCATAAGCACATTGATATATCTGTATGGATGTATACAGGACTACGTTCTCTGGTGTGCCAATTACTGTTTATTTTGGGCTTATTCTACATTGCAGTAGTGAAATTTACTGCTGCTTTGTGGGGATTATTTATTTCATTGTTTTTTTTTTTAAATTTTAAACCATGCCACCAGCTTACAGTTCCCAAGGGCTTATAGGACAACATGGCATGGGGAAGTGGGTGTAAGCTATTTTGATTGTGACCTCCTTGCACTAGGTTCATGTCCTTGCGCTATCTATAAGCCAGGTATTGCAAAGGAAACAGAAAAAACAATTCCCTTAGACTGGAAATCGTCTGCTGCAAAGTTTAAGTATACGCCTTAAATACAGATGTACAAACAGAGGCAGAGAGGCTATAGGTGCAGAACAAGAGAACACAAATCAAAATATACACTTGGCCTATTTGGTGCAGAACTAAAATAAAGTAGCAAATATACAGAAATAGTTTAAAATTTACAAATGGCATCTTTCCCTTCCTGTAACAAAGGAAAATAATTCAGAGAATACCTCCTGGGGTTGCTAGCAGACCTACCCGGTGCCAGTGGCTGGCAGCTTGATTAGCACAGAAGATCATTACACAGAACAGTGGTGATAACATGGACATAGAAATCTAATCAGAGCCACAACCTTGCAGTAGCCACAAAAAGAATTTCACAGCCGACAGTGCAATAGCCCAGGGTGTCATAGGAGAGCAGCCAGGCATCTAGGCACAGAGTCAGATGCTGCTCTTGGCAAGGACTTCCAGAGCTTGGTAGCTGCCAGCCTTTTCCCATGTGGAGTCAAGGGGTCTCGGCTCTTATGCTTTAACAGAAAGAGAAGGAAGGCAAAATGAAGCGGTGCCCAATCTGTGCTGAATGACACATCTGCGCCCGTTTGCTGTGCAGCATTGACAGGAGGATAGGCTTGTCAGGGTTGCGGTTCTCAGCCTTGCACGTCCCGAGACTGCTCAAGTCGTGTTGTACAGAGACCGTGTGACCAGAAAGATGCAACAGAAAAGAAGTGGTACAGTGGCATTGGCTCCATGAAAAGTCTGTCTGATTCTGCAGTTAGGCTTTGCTATGATAATGCATGACAGGGTGAGAGACTGTAGGCAGCAAGTTGATGCTGGGGTGGACTAGTGAGCAAGGCTGGTCTGGCTGAATTAGGACTTGGAGAACTGGACTTGGAGTCCCAGCTCTGTCACAAAGGAATTAGGGAAGCCTTTTAATTCATGCTATGCCCCCAACTCAGCTTTAAAATGGTGAGGATGTACTTCTGCCTTGAAAAGCTGTTAAAAGGATAAAATCTGTAAA